AGAGAGAGAGAGAGAGAGAGAGAGAGAGAGAGAGAGAGAGAGAGAGAGAGAGAGAGAGAGAGACATGACTATCGTCATTATACTGGTGGCCGAGGTTTGTTGAGGAGGAAGAGAGATAGGTAGAGAGGCAAGGGGGCGAGGAAGGGGAGAGAGAAAGAATTATAGAGAGCTGTAAACTGGAGACATACTTGGTAAGGTATATGATAGAACATATTATGAGAAATGAGACAATGAGACCAAATGCACGAGAACAGAAAAACCAGAACAACTGTAGAGACAACATGACACACGACACCGTAGAGAGAGAGAACAGACAGGGCGACCACACGAGGGACGGCAGGGGGCGCCACCGTAGCTCACCGGCGCTCAGCAGGATGTTGTTTGCCGTCGGATGCCAGATGATGAGACCGACGCGTCGTTGATGCATCACCAGGTCTACGACGGGCGTCTCGATGTTCAGCCGCAGCGGCCACTTCTCCGGGATCTGCCACACCTGCGACGTGACGAGTCGAGACATTGAGACACACGACTCACGCGAGAGGCTCATACCTTGTGTGTGTATATGATATATATACCCATGATATATATATATACCTGATCATAACATTATTAATTTTAATAAAAAAAATATTTATTAAACAACTTATTTACTATTAAAGTATTTAATCGGCGGCGGCGGCGGCGGCGGCGACGGACGGCGGACGACGACGACGACGACGACGACGACGACGACGACGACGACGACGACGACGACTACTACTACTACTACTACTACTACTACTACTACCATTATAACAATTGTTATGCAGTGGTAGATCTATGCGTTGTGTACTTCAGTGGTTCAAGCTCACCTTCACTGTACAGTCCTCTGAGCTGCTTGCTATCACATTGTCATTGAATGGGCACCAGGCAATGTCCAGCACTGCCCCCTTGTGGCCAGAAATGAGTGGATAATCTCTCTCTATCCGTCCGACCTGGGAATTTTACGATCATGTCAGATAGGCAAACAAATATATAAACTATCGCACGTACATGACATATGCATTAAAATCGCAGCCATAATTTCTCAACAACATTCTACATCAAATCAAACTTTGTTTTGATTTCCTCCTGATATTTCAATAATATTGCAATGAATTCCCTGCATTGCATCAAATTTAAGTGAATTGTCTATCATTCCATGACATAACACATTGTAGTAATATTTATCCCATGTGTTATCCACTACTTGTACAGTAAGTATTATGAACTTGTACAGTACAGTACTGAGCAGTTGTACAGTACTTGTGCGGTTTATGTATTATATTTTAAAATTACAATACTTGTCACAGACCAATGAAGTACCTGACAGGTAACACAGGTGACAGGCGTCAACGATACGGCGCATGTGACAAAACACGTACGTTTACTTGTCGAGTTATGTCATCAGCATCACGACACATGCAGGTAGCTGTCAATGTTTGGTAGGTGATTGAAGGTTGTGTCCCCCACCCACACCCACACTAGCCCACGTGTTTAGCGTTGACAGAGATGGGAGAGAACGTTTGATTACGTCTCACTTTGACATACAGAGGGAGAGAGAGGGTGGGAGAGGGATAAAAGGCAGAGAGGGAGAGAGAGGGATAGTGAGAGGGATAAAAGGCAGAGAGGGAGAGAGA